CTTTCCTCCTGGAGTTTGCCCCTAGTTGATGTTGTCTGTTCTACCACTGATATGACCCTGCATTACTGTCCTTCCTCTCACTTAATCCTTGTTGGACTCTAGAGCTGTCTTCTGCAGGTTTCAAATATTTATTTCCCAGCTAGCATTTAAACAGAAGTTTTTATTATCTTCTCCTATTTATGCTATAAGGAGCTCTGGTGCCTAAGGCATTTGATTGCTAACCAGAAGGCTGTAGGTTCAAACCCACCAGACACTCCTCAGAAGGAAGATTGGGCAATTGGGAGCTCTGGTGGTGTTGTGACACTGTGAGGCTGGATCAACTCAAAGGTAGTGAGTTTGGTTTTTTGGTATTTATTAGAGCATAATAAATTATGCTGTTGTTGTTGTTGTTGTTTTGCCGTCGAGTCGGCCCCGACTCATAGTGACCCCTCCTTGGGTTTCCGAGGCAGTATCACTACGGAAGTAGGATTGCCCAACCTTCCTTCCGAGGAGTGCCTGGTGGGTTTGAACCGCCAGCCTTCTGGTGAGCAGTCAAGTGCCTTAGGCACTATGCTACCAGAGCTCCTAATAAATTATAAATTTATATAATAAATTTGGTATTTATTATAGCATAAATAATTTATAGCATAAAAGGACCCCTAGAGGGACAGCAGTTAAGTACTCAGCTGCTAATGGAATGGTTGGTGGCTTGATCCTACCCAGTAGTTTCATGGGTGAAAGGCCTGGCAATTTGCTCCCATGAAAATTACAGACTAAAAAAATCTATGGGGTAGTTCTGCTCTGTCATATAGGTCGCTATGGGTTGAAAATTGACTCAACAGCACCTAACAAAAGTAACAGTTATGGCATAGATGTGGATTCCATATTGATATGAAACATTGTTAGAAGATGTGGGCAGATTCAAGTTTAAGTGGTCACCATTATCCTACTCACCAACTCTTAGTCATTTTAATTAAGGTAATTGGATGGGACAATCTACTTCCATAGTGATACTGCCTCAGAAAACCAAGGAGGGGTCGCTATGAGTCGGGTCCGACTTGACGGCACATAACAGCAACAACAACAAATTAATTTAATAAGTTAATCAAACTTCTAAAATATGTGTATCCTTTATCAACTAAAATAAGTAATGTTAGTGATCTTAACTCAATGAAATTTATTTACTTGATATCTATTACAAAATATCTTCTCCCTAAAAGTAGCATCAGTAACTAGGGTATGTTTGAATTAGTTCTCATTCAACAAATATTAAGTTCTATCTATCTGTCTGCATAAAAAAAAAAATCCCTAAATATATCATCAATGAGTCCTTCCCCATTGGCATTATCTTTCTTTAGGCCACTGTACTACTCACCTGGATTTGTACATTAGTTTTCAAACAAGTCATCTTGCCTTTAGTCTAACTCTAATAACATATCTATCCTCCACCATCCTAACTTATTCTTTAAACTGCTGAGGAAATTAACTTTCTGGAGTGCAAATCTGAATGTTTCTACTTAGAATGCTTTAAATATTCCTTGATGCCTTCAGAGCAAAGCCCAAGTTTCATCACAAGGCATAGCCCTTTATAAACTTTTCTCTATTATTTCACCATTTTCATCTCTAATGAGTTTCCACTTCTGTCACTTTCTTTCTCACCTCTGAACTTTGAGTATGTTGCTTATTCTGCCTCAAATGACCTTTCTCTTCTTGTTGGCTTGGTTGTCACTCCTTATCTTTTATGCAACACAAAGGTCATCTTCTCTGAGAAGTCATTCCTGACCTCCCCAAAGAGAACTAATAGTTCCTCCCACGCCCTTGGTTACAGAAACCTTGTACATAACTCTGTAATAAGGATCACAGTATTTTCATGATGCATCTGTAGTAATGGCCTCCTCACCATACTCTCTGAAGGGAGAGTTTATGTCCTGTTTACATTTGTTTTCCCATTACCTAGTTCACCAACCATTATCTGAACATTTGCATGTCCTGAACATCTAGAAGATGAACACAAGTTATTCAGAAACTCACATTTAAATGGGAGATTGTTGTTGTTGCTATGTGCAATCAAGTTGGACCTGACTCATAGCCACCCCTCCTTGGGTTTCCGAGGTGGTATCACTATGGAAGTAGATTGCCCAACCTTCCTTCTGAGGAGTGGCTGGTGAGTTTGAATCACCAGAGTTCTGATTGGCATTCAAGTACCTTAGGCACGACGCTACCAGAGCTCCCAAATGGGAGATACAGAGCAACAAATAATTACAATATGAGCCTAACAAATGTTAAAAACTAAGAGTTCTACAATATTCAACATGTGTTGTAGCACTCTAGTCCCATGTAGCAGTTACCATTATCTAAAAAGTAAGTAAATAAAATAGTCGTTGTTGAATTAATTCTGACTCATGATGACCTTGTGTGTAGAGTAGAACTGTGTTCCATAAAGTTTTCAGTGGCTGATTTTTCAGAAGTAGATGACCAGGCCTTTCTTCTGAGGCACCTTTTGGTGTATACTCAGTCCTCTATCCTTTCAGTTAGCAGCTGAGTGTGTTAACAGTTTGCACCACCTAGCGACTTCCTTTTGGGGAAACAATCAATCAAGGCATCATTTTATAGATTGTGAATGGCTTTTCTTATTCCAACATTTAACTTAACATTTGTGTGTGTGTGTGTGAGCACACTTCCATATTTTAAAAATTCAATGTTATTTTTTTATATAACGTTAATCCATATAAAATTTATTTTGGTTTAATTGTGAGGTTCATATAAATCATTTTAAAAATTAACTAACAAATATTTCCATAATTATTTAATTGTGTACATTGATTAAATAATGCATTCTTTCCCCATTGATTTGAAAAACCTCCTACTCATATAATTAACAGTACTATATATCTAGGTTAGCTTCTGTGCTTTCTATTCTAGTATTGTTGTTGTTGTTGTTGTTTGCCCTTGAGCCGGCCCTGACTCATAGCGACCCCTCCTTGGGTTTCCGAGGCAGTATCACTACGGAAGTAGGATTGCCCAACCTTCCTTCTAGTATAGATTCCTCTTATTGCCTCCATATTTTACCATTTTAAATATCATAGTCTTGCAGTGCATTTTAATAGCTGCCAATATTTTCTTGTCTCATCTGAACCACTCTTCACAGTCAGCTTTCTGTATTATATTTAATGTTGTAACAAGCCTTCAGTGTTAAAGTTATGAATGTTAATTTGTTATCTTTGTGTGACATTCTTTCTGGAGAAGCTTGAGCTATTCAGGCAATGCTTGTCTTAGGGCATACCCTGGCCTAAGATTCTTTGTAGGAGGCCAAGCCCACTCTCCTTCAGGCTTTCTTTGGGATATAATTACTCTGGCCTTTAGTTCCCAGCCCACTCACTTCTCAGTACTTTTGATCTAGAGCAAAGAAAGGGCTATTTAACCAGAAAATTCCCAGTCTCTCAGCTGGCTCACCTTTTTATCCAGAATGCTGTATGTTGTCTACGATCTTATCCTAAACATAATGCAGAGATACTCATTTAGTTTTTTGCAGGGTAGTCATGGCAAAACATGCAAGTAACACCTGACAACATTCCTTTAGAATCAGAGAATACATAATTAACAATTACAAATTACAATGTTAGTTCAATAGTCAGAGTCCAAATTTTTAGAATTTAAGCATTTACATTTAATGACAGGTCTCAAGAGGAAGGTTTAACTGTGGCTTGAATTTAGCAGAAATCCTTTGTAGCTAAGGCCTGAGGTTGGGGGCTGCAGGCACAATCTCTCAGCAGGTTCTTAGAGTTCACAGAAAGTAAAGACTAGAAAATGATCCTTTGCTTTTGCTTGCTCTCAGTGAGTAAGCAGAAATTCAGGGTTGGTTTTTGTTGTTGTTGTTTGTTTGTTTCTTTTGTGTGTGTTAAATTCTCATTTTGGCTTCACACAGTGAGGGGCAGTGTGTCATCAAAGACTAGTATGTTGTCTTTTCTCCAGGTTAGACATTAGCCAAATGACACATTTTTTCTTCAAGGCTAGAGATTAATGAGGTTGTTAAATTTATGTCTCAAGACTAGTTTACAAAGATTAACTATGTCATCTTTTTTTTTTTTTTAAATTAAAGCATGCCCATTCAAAATTAATTTAAAGACTGTGTACCATGTTCTTCACATACTTACATGTTTCTATGTCTAAGTTCAGAAATTTTCTAAATAACTTTCTAATGACGCATAGATTTCTAAGGACTTATATCTGATGTTAGAGAGCCTCCCAGAGGTAAATACATTTCTAAGTACATACTATGACTGTGTATACATATATATTTTGAAAGTTTAGTAATGACTTACACCTTATGTGATTTGAGAACATCATAGAAACATATAGGACATGGTCCTAGAAATTCAGTGTTGGTGAGGTTCTGACACAATTTCCTTCAGTAATTTCCCCAGCAACACACTGCTTATTCAGGGAGAAGAACTGCAATCAGCTTTCCTCTTCAATCAATAACTAACAGAAACTCCTTGACATCTCCATAGCATGGAGATGACAATATGCCTTCATCCCTTGCATGGGAATAGCTCTGCCTCCCCCCACCAACAAACACAGCTTTTATAGTGCTGTACATATTTCAGGGGGAGCTCTGGTGGTGTGGTGCTTAAGGCATTTGACTGCTAACCAGAAGACTGGAAGTTCAAACTCACCAGCCACTCTCTCAGAAGGAAGACTGGGCAAGCAACTTCTGTGAAGATCCCTCCTCAGAAACCCAAGGAGGAGTCACTATAAATCGGAACTGACTCGAGGGCAGTGAGTTTGAGTTTTGTTTGAGATATTTCAGGTAGTTTCTGGAATGGTAGGACTCAGAGATTGAAGGTCTGCATTAAGATATTAAAGTTATGAATGTTAATTTGTGCTTTCTTAGTTTAGTTTAGCATAGTTTGGGGTTTTTTAAGCCATAGTATGCAGGTAAAACTTTTTCTTTAGTTTATTTGATTATAGAGCAAAAATGTAGTCAATCTGCATAATTACAAAGTATCTTCTTTCCCTAGATGATATCTTGAAGATTATTAAAGAGGCTGGATTTGAGGTGAAACATATGAAGGAAATACTCCTAACTAAAGAGTTAGCAGACTGCATTTATCTAAATATAAGAAACAAGGACTTTTATAAAGATGTATTGCAAATTTTATTTGAGTAAGTTTCTGATATGTAGTTCTTTGCATTATAAAAATAATAACTATTTATTATAGAAATTTTAAAAAATACATAAAAGAATTAAAACATTCTCACATAATCTCATCCATGAAAAGATAGACACCCTGTTAACATTCAGAGTTTATTTCTTTTTTATCTTCCTTCTTCTCTCCATTCCTCTCCTCTTCCCTTCCCTTCCCTATTCCTTCTTCCCTCATTCTCTTCCATCTTTCTTCCTTCTTTCCTACTATTTCTTTAGATCTTCACAAAAAAATTAGAGGCCATCTGATTTAAAGCCCTTCTTTGTCAGCATACTTAATTTGTGCCTTAGTTTCCCTATCTATAAAATAGATATATTAATGGCACTTACTTCATAGGTGTGTTGTGAGGGCTGAATAACTATAGATTGAATGTAGGAACAGTGCTTGCACATAATAATCACTACATGAATGCTAATTGTCTTTATATATGTCTTTTTTTCTTTTAAATATGTAGACAATTTGCCAAACTCTTTGTGTGTGTGTATAAATATGTACACACACATACACACACATATATATATACACACACAAATATATGTGTGTGTGTGTGTGTGTGTATGTATATATACTTGAAAGTTCCAGAAAAGCATGTTTTGTGATACCAAACATGCTCTTCTGGAACTTTTCTTCTATGACATTATGGGTATCTCTTCCTGACAACATATACTTTTATAATATGCATAGGAACTAAAGGCTAACATATAGTGAGTGCTATACTCAATTCTAGGCCTCATGCTAAATTACATACACTTTATCTCATTTAACCACATCTCTATGAAGTAATTTTACTCTAATTTCCATTTTGGTTATGAAGGACCAGAAGCACAGAGGTGGAATTTATCCACAGGCACAAAGCTGGTGTTTGGCTGTGCTCTGAGCCCTGTGAGCCTGTGCTCTTCTTACTTGTTGCATCTCGAGATTCCCTTTTATATATTGTTCATAGTTATTTGAATTACCTTACTGATATTTTTTGAGTCTTTGTGTGTGTGTGCTTTTATATATATATAAGTATATATATAAAAGCATACACACAAAAAAAAGACTAAAAAAATCAGTAAGGTAATATATATATATATATATAATGTGTATACACAGGTGGTGTGAATAGTTAATTGTTCAGCTACCAACTGAAAAGTTGGTAGTTCAAATACACCCAGAGGTGCTTCAGAAAAAAGTCCTGGAAATTGGCTTTCAAAAGGTCACAGCCATTAAAAACCCTATGGAGCAGTTCTACTCAATAATACAGGGGGTCACCATGAGTCAGACTAGAAGGTAACTGGTTTTGTATATATATGAGTATCTTTATGTCTCTTTTTCAATACCTAACAATTTGTCAGTGAGTTTAGAAAGGCACAATTTATAGAGTTCAAACAAAAGATTGCTTGGAACCAAAAAAAAAGTTCTGATAATAATACCTTAAACTTTGAATGAATGTAATAATGAGACACAAACAATAAGCAGAAGACTGGGGACTTTCGGTAACTGTTCCACGGCAGCTTAGGAAACAAACTCACTTTCCTATCTGTTGCAAGTTGTAGTCCTCAGGAAGCAAAGTTAAGTTGCAGGATATTTTTAAGGGTGTACTGTGGGAAGGAGGAGAAAGAATCAGGATTGGGAAGAGGGAGAAATCAGGATGAAAAGCAGCCTCAAACTAATCTCTCTGATCAGAACTAAATTGGCCCTTCAGAAGTGCCTTGCATTGGGCCAGGTCTTCATACCCTCCTGTAGATCAGTCCCTGGAGGTGGGCCACTCTGGGAATAAGAATGACCTTGAGCAATATGACTATGTAGCAATGGCCATCCCTGGAGAGGCTTATAGCTGAAGGATAGCCAGGCTACCAACACCTTCATCCAAGAGAGATCTGAGTGCTGACCACAGTGTTCAAACAATGTCTTTATTTATGGGCCCCCAAAGTAACAAAAACAAGATTCCATTGACAAAAAATTCCCTGGAACTAAACTATAGCACTCTTCTAGCACAACAGCCTGTTAGAAGAGGGAGAATGGGGGGGGGGGACTAAGAAGATTGTACTCGGAAGAGCACAGAATAAGGAGAGACCTCTGGGCAAAGCTGTGGTACTGCCGTTGGTCAATTATGCAAACCCTGCAGTTGTAAATAGCCCAAATCTTTTGAAACCATCTTTCCTTGCAGAGGCCCATGTCTGCTTCTGGTCCTGGCAAAGTGGAATGCTGTTTCAGAATGGAGAAGATTGATGGGACCCACAGACCCAGAAGAAGCAAGGCTACTCTCCCCAGACTCCATACGAGCCCATTTTGGAACCAGTATCTTGCACAATGCTGTCCATGGAGCATCCAGTGCCATTTCAGCAGAAGAGACCATTAGAAAACTGTTTGGAGAGCTAGATTCTGAGAATCTTGAGGAAAACTAAAGTATGGTGCTTCTTTAATTATTATTTTCTTCTCTTTGCTTGTTCTGGGGGTGGGGCCTAGGGCAAAGCTGGATTGGAGTGCCCAGAATGTTTCCTATATTCCTGAATCAATAATTCTTTTCCTGAAGATACAGTCTGCTGTTCCATAGCAGGCTTTCAGCGGGAAAGCTAATCCAATGACCTGAGGAATTACAGTTACATAGAGCTTGGCCAAGCTGGATGCATACAGGCCCATGAATGGTGACAGTGGGCCTAAGAAGACAGACACTCCTGGGTGTGCAGGCCTTGATCTCAAGCCATTTGTGTCATTTATCATGCCACAGTCTTATGTAATCCTGCCCTTTGACTCCCTTCCACTTCTTCACTTTGAATGACCAAAGTCTCATTCATCAGCCTGGACTCAATCCTCTACCAACAACATACGACAATGTAATGTAATAGAAAGGACCCTGGCTGGCATAATCATTTTGCCCTGAACTACTAACCTAAAGGTTTGCAGTTCAAACCTACCTATCAGTGCTATGGAAGAAAGGCCTCTTAATCTGCATTTATAAAGACCATAACCAAGTAAATCTCATGGGCAATTCTATTCAATAATACATAGGGTTTCTGTGAGTCTGAATTGACTCAACATAAATGCTATTCTTCCCTACCCCCTAATGTAACAGCAAGTCAGAAACCAGAGAGAAAAAAAAAAAAGAAAAAAGTCAAATATTTATTGACTGAGTGTGGCTATTACCAAATGCAAGAGCAATGAGTTGACTCAGTTGCCCCAAGCTTTTCCCTCCTGGGCAGTGTAGGCAATAGTGTGTAAGATGAGTGACTTTTCTCATCAAACCAGCTTCCCTTCTTTAGTTTCATGGCCAAAACTGTAAAAAGAGCGTGCTCATAACTGTATGGCTCTACCTGCTGACTTAAATATGACTGTATGAACTCTTCATGTGTGGAGTACTCTCCTAACCTAGAGGAGCCCCATTGAGAATCGGCCCCTGAGCGTAATGATAAAGCAATGTACAATGTTATATCCCTCAGTGAGCTAATATTGCGATTCTGTTTCAGACATTCGAGAATCATTTGTTCAATTTTTGCTATATGCTGAAGCCTTTTCTGGGACTGTTTATATGTATGCAGTCCCTGTCCTAAAGGATGCATAACTCTGAGAGCAGGGGATAGAGAGTTGAGATGTGTCTTAGGGGTGAGCAGTGCTTTGGGAAGACTATATAGGAGTTGGAGAGAAGGAAGCTGAGATGCTGACTGTCCAGGTAGGGATAAGGCTGTCATCAAAGTGAAACAGGGAAGCAGCTGAACTAAGATAGAGATGGTGAATTTAGCAATAAGCAGAATGACAAGGGAATTCTTGGAAGACTGTGTCTACATGCCTTTGAGATTGGCTCCCACCCCACCAATGGAGTGGAAGAGAGCAAAACAACTCCCAGCTTCTTGGCCTGAGTAACTGGGTAAGCGGTCAAACCAGACAGCAAACCCAGAGAGAGAAGCAGGACAGCAGGAAATGTCACAAGTTCTGTTTTAGTCTTGTTGGGTGGAGGACATCTGAGTTGAGAGTGAGTCAGAGGGGAATGGAGAAGGTTCCATCAGAGAGGTGTCAAAATCTTTTGCCAAAGAATTCTTCAAGGCCCCTTTCAAAATAACTCAAAATTAACCTGTCTTGTGATACATTCAAAAGAAAATACATCTAATCCTGACATTGAGAGCCTTAAATAAAAGCAAGCCTTTCATAAAGTTTCTTGAAGAGATGATAAATAAAGGAATTTTTTTTTCCAAAACGAAATAGAACAACAACAACAAATTCCTAAAGGTCTTCATTGGGAACCTGTGTCCTCAGAGACCTATAGGTCTCTGCAGCTGCTTCCCATGTGTCTGTTCCTTCCCTTTTCCCTCCTATCTCCTCGTGATGTGCAGTAAATAGATGTGCAATCGTTCAGTTAGCTTTCTTAGCAACTTTCAATTCTCTTGCTTGCCTCTGGCTCACCCAGCAATTCTGGATCCTTGAAAGTATTTAGGGGAAAGTTATAGTTACTCACAAGTTAATGTTTTTTGCTTTATTACAGAGTTTGATCATTAAATCGGTAGCTTCTAAATGCTTGTTGATTGCTAACTTTCCAAATTGGGGCAGGGATTAGAGAAAGACAACGGGTCATCCCCCCAGATCTGTGATTTTTCTACATGCCTGTTATTTGTTTGCAAGACTCTAATGTGGAAAATCACTACTGCTTTAGAAATAGTATGCAGCATGTAATTTATTTTATCAAGTATATTCTTTCTTTTCCTAGAACTTTGAGAAGACAATACAGAACATTGATGTGTAATCATGTGACAACAGCTTCCTGGGAGGAAGAACAAAGACAGTCTTTGGAGGAAAACTCAATGGCATCTCAAGTTAAAAACACATCTCAGGGTGAAAAGCACATGACTAAGCCAAACACCAATAAAAATGTACCCCAAAATAAATCCTATGTTTGTTTTTACTCTTTCTTCCAGAAAGATGTTGATGTTGAAAGGGTATATATAAATGCACACCAGATACAATAAAATAAATGGGCAGCAACATATAATGTGCAGAATAAGAGAATAGATCAAAGGAAGCCATCAATGAGTTAGATGCAACATACATACTGCATTTTGCAGGGCCCTAATATACCACGTAGAAGTTGAACAAAAATTTGACTCTGCACTTTCCAGCATAAAACTCTGAAAAGGTGACACATTGATTTACACAATTTTTAATCTTCTATATGACAGTGCAGGAGCTCTGGTGGCATAGTGCCTAAGGCATTTGACTGCTAACCAGAAGGCTGGTGGTTCAAACCCACCAACCACTCCTTGGAAGGAAGACTGGGCAATCTAGTTCCATAGAAATACTGCCTCGGAAACCCAAGGAGGGGTCGCTGTGAGTCAGATTAGACTCAATGGCAGTGAGTTTTGTTGTTGTTGTTGTTTTGCTTTTTTATAGGACAGTGCAGGAGCTCTGGTAGTGTAGTGCCTAAGGCACTTGACTGCTAACCAGAAAGCTGGTGGTTCAAACCCACCAGCCACTTCTCAGAAGGAAGGTTGGGCAATCTACTTCCATAGTGATACCACCTTGGAAACCCAAGGATGGGTCACTATGAGTTGGATCCAATTTGAACGGCACATAACAACAACAACATAGGGCAGTGCAGGCTATGCACCACGCTCCCTGATGGTAAGATAATGTGAATCTCTGTAGGTATGGGAGATCATAATAAGCTAAGTTTGTTGTTATTGTTTAAGTTTTTTACTCCTGTCAGGATGTAATGTGAATCATGTCTTCTGCCATGATGTATTTGTAAGTTAATAAAACTAGTTGCCCTGAAGTTAATTCTGACTCATGGTGACACTGTTTGCGTCAGAGTAGAACTGTGCTCCATAAATTTTTCCATGGCTGATTTTTCCTGAAGTAGATAACCAGGCCTTTCTTCTCAGGTAATTCTGGGTAACCATTTGCAACACTCAGGGTTAATATCCAGAGTTATATGTAATTCCCAGCACATTAGTTGTGTTGCTCCTCCTTTTTATCTCACTTAAGAGAACATATTGAAACACAAGTGAGAATGATGCTATTAGATGATTAATATTCCTTTTCTTTTTTTCTTTTTCTTTTTACATATGATTGTACTATTTTCATAAGGCTGCCTAACAAAGTGCCACAAACAAGTCAGATTAGAACAATAGAAATTTATTGTCTCACAGTTCTGGAAGCTGTTGTTATTGTTGTTAGGTACAGTCGAGTCAGCTCTGACTCATAATGACCCTATGTACAACAGAATGAAACACTGCTTTGTCCTGTGCTAGCCTCACAATACGTACTATATGTATTGTGCCCATCATTGCAGCCACTGTGTCAATCCATCTTGTTGAGGGCCTTCCCCTTTTTCATTGACACTCCACTTTATCAAGCATTATATCCTTCACCAGGGAACGGTCCCTTCTGACAACCTGACCAAAGTAGGTGAGATAAAGTCTGGCCATCCTCACTTCCAAGGAGCATTTGGCTGTACTACTTCCAGGACAGATTTGTTAGTTCTTCTGGCAATCCATAGTACTTTCAGTATCCTTCGCCAGCACCACAATTCAAAAGCATCAACTCTTCTTTGGTCTTCTTTATTCATCATACAGCTCTCACATGCATATGAGGTGATGGAAAACACCATGGCTTGGGTTAGGTGCACCTTAGTCTTCAAAGAGACATCCTTGCTCTTCAGCATTTTAAAGAAGTTTTTTTGCAGCAGATTTGCCAAGTGCAGTACATTTGGGATATCTAGTTCTAGAAGCTAGATATCCAAAATCAAGGTGTCAGCATGGCCTGTTCTTTCTGAAGTCTCTAGGGGAATATCTTTCCTTGTCTCTTCTTAGCTTCTGGTGGTTCTTGGCAATTCTTGACATATCTCAGCTTATAGATGCATCATTCCAATCTCTGCTTCTGTCTTCAAGTGGTTGTTTTCCCTCTGTATCTACCCCCTTTTTTTTTTTGCTAAGGATATCATTCATATTGGATTAGGACACATCCTACTCCGATATAACCTCATGTTAACTGATAATATCTTCAAAGACCTTATTTCCCAGTAAGGCCACATCCATATCTACCAGGGTTTAGAACTTCAAAACATCTTTTAGGTGGACTCGATTCAATCCATAATAATAGTTAACTTTCTAGTCTAATTTTTAAACTCCAGTATTAATAAGATTAAGATACATACTTAATCGTTTCATATTAGTGACACACCACTCACTTCAAAACTAGTGTTGCAACAATTTGAGAAACACAACTGTGGACTATCATATAGATTGTTTCCAAGACAGTAAATCTTTATAGAGGTAGATCACCCCATCTTCCTTCTGCAGAGTCTCTGAAGGCTTTCACCTGTTAATCTTCTGGTTAGCAATCAAATGCCTTAGGGACTATGCCACCAGAGCTCCTTATGTAAACTCTACTTAAAGAAAAAAAAATTACCATAGAGTCA